GTACCACTTTTTACTTAAAAAATATCGAAGTCGATACCCGTACGCACGCCACTGTTAAAGCAAAAAATTATTTTTGCATTGAGAAATATGCAACTTTATTAACTTTCACTACGTACTAAATATCAGTGAAATATCTGAAGCGGTTCTGAAAATAATTTCCATTTTTTTCCTACAACTTCCACACCCCGAGTTTTTGTAACGAAACATTTTTGAACCACAGTTTATAAAGCAAACTAACATTAACTTTGGATGTAGATGTAGTGGAGCCCCTGCATCAAGATTTTCGTTGAAGCTTGAGTATAAAAACACTCTGGAATTTTTCCTTATTTAAACGGTATCCTCTGCGAGTTCAATTCCCCAGGAACAAACGATGAAACCGTACCAAACGTACACACTTCACCTCAATGAACAGAAGCTCTTATTGTATTTTCTCAAAGCTGATTTACTTTGGTATCGACAGATAGATTTGTCTCGAACGACGGAAAGACTTTCATTATTAAGTAAACACAATCAGTTCCAATACACTTACGGGAAAAAGAATTTCCCTTCGCTTATTCAATTCAACAGTGAAATATCGAATGATATTGAATACGATTCGCCGGTGCACTTTATTGACTTTTTATCGATGGAGACGACGCGGCCACAGAACTCAGAATCAGGGAGATGGTGGAGCATGAGGCTGTCACTGGAAAAGGGTCGTAGACCCAAAGCATCAAGGCGAATCACCGATCAGTTCGCAAGAAAAGATCATCTAAAACTGTACAAGGAGTTGAAGACAGATCCTATATTGGCAACGCCCATGGACACAACTGTCATAGTCTACAATTTAGATGAAAACTAGCAAACAATATGAGTGAGAGAAAGGGCCTCCTAACATGCCAAAAGCTACTGCCCAACTAGCAAAGTAGTGGTATAAGCTTTTGGTAAAAGAACCATTCAGCCATAAAAGTTCTCTATTGTTGTTGCCTGAACACCAAAATGCTGGCTTAATGTTGTGTGGAATGCAAATTTGCTTTCTGCAACATATTTGCTCTAAAATGAGGTGTTTAAAATATTCTTATAGCATAGTTATACAACACCTTATAGGACAAATTTTTAACTGTTGCATAAACGTTTATACAACTATTTTATACGGCATATTTGCAAGTTAGTCAAACTCGAGCCTTGTTGTTTTGCTGTGCAATTTACTACTTTAGCCAACAAATTGCTCCCAACGGAACCACTTATACAACTGTTGTTTAGTAACTGTTAAAGGCTGTACAAATGCTAAATATGTTGGTAAACAACTTCACCATAACCTAACTTTCTGCTGTCATATTTTTGTTAAAATGCCATAACCAATGTTTTAAGACAAACAACGCATGCATATCGGTTCAAAAGGTTTTATCAACTGTTCAAACAGAAGATATAGATCTGGTACAAATTCTGGGTAAATCATTCGACTCTGTCGGTATTTTATTTCAGCCATTTGTCAAATTGCTGTATAGCACCTGCAGGCAACACCAAAATATTCTAATAACCTAAAGACAACATGGACGATGCCATGATTGTACACAACCACCCGCCATATTGGGCAAAGATTTATTCCTCTGTTTAATATTAAATAATCATGTTTCAGTTCGAAATTACAGACATAAAGTGATAAAAATTAGTCTAATTGTGTCTAAATAAAGGTTTTGTGGAAGATTTAACACAGATTAGTTCAGTTTTCAATCTTAAAAATCTAGACATACTTTTGATCATTGTCAAAATATGAATCAAATACGAATCCCTTAGAAATTGGGTAACTAATTTGCACGATAATCACAATAAAATTTGCTGCGCACGTAATTCAATAGCCCTATATCACAGTGTAGAAGTTATCATATACCTGTGTATGAAATTCACAATGGACGATATGTAAGTAAACAAGATGACTGTAATGTGTTAGTTATATATTCTTCACTTCGTCTATATAATACATAAGAAATATATAGTTTGGTTGCAATAAAGTAGAATCACGTAACAGAATAGTTGTATAGTTGACAAAAACTGAATCTTGCACTGACGCAAATGTCCTATAGCGGCTGCAAGAGGCTTACATTTTTGTTTTATAACTGTTACCTGCAGCCCGTATACAACCTCTTAAATGACTGAAGTGTCCTATTAGGTGTGCCCATTCCGCTTGTATAGCTGTTCTAAGAGGGTTTTGCCAATGTTCTTATAATATACAATGCTGTTTAAGGAATACTGTAAAATCATTTTTGCAACTCTAATATGAGTGATAATTGTTAGTTGGGTGGTACACAGACGGTTCAAAAACTAAAGACGGGGCTGAAGCTGGTATTTATGAGGCAATGCCAAATGCTCAGATCTCTATAAATCAAGGTATGAGACTTGCTTTGAGAGCTAGGTAGCCATAAAGGCATTTATTCATCGCAAACATCATCTAAACCTGTATGGAACTGCGTCAACAGTCTCAAAAAGCTGGTAAACCGAAACAATGTAACATTGCTCTGGGTACCAGGACATGAAGGGCGCAAAGGAAATGTAAAGGTATCGCCTAATAGGTCCAGAGCCTTTTTGTGGAGTGACGAGAACACGCGCTAAACAGTCCATTGAATTGAACCAAGAAAAAGTGAGTATACAACCGAAAAGGGCAAAGGCAGGCAAAAGAGTTAATCAAAAACGGTGAGGCTAATCTTGCTTTTGATATCACGAAAGCTCTTCTTTAACTGTGGCATGCTGCTCGCTTTTTTCGCTTTTCCAGGCGGGTACGCTTGATATGCCGGTATTCAAATCAGCTCCATGTTTTGCATCAATAACAAAATCCAGTTCTCCTTCTTGTTACCCTAAATCTGTCAAATATGGCCTCTGCTATAGCAAAGTTAGCTGCAGGCCATGCCCTTTGACAGTCGCCCATACTACGCCAGTGCTAGTGTCGTGGTTACAGCGAATACACGTGCCGATCCAGTCAAAATTCAGTAGTGTGGCTATTTCCTTGCAAACTTCATTTTTATTCCAATTCCAATCCATCACTTTTTGGTAGGTTTCGGGAGCTATATGTTCAATCGCTTGCATAATTAGCTGCTCTATATTATTTGGTTTATTGGCATAAACCTTATTCTTCAAAAATCCCAAAAAAAAAGTCAGGAGCCGTTAAATCCGGTGACCTTGGTAGCTAGTTGACAAATCGAGAGACTAAACGCCCAGAAAATATTGTTCGCAAAAGGTTCTTTCCCCAGTTGGGTGACAAGTTGCTCGGTCCTGCTGGAACCACATATTTTGCAGGTTAACTTTTGGATTTGAGGAGTTCTCTAATGCCCAGATACTGCTTATTAACAAATTCGTTCATATAGAAGTTGTTTCACCGCTCTTCATCAGTTGTCGGTAAAAATCGTTATTTTGGGTATTCAGCTGCAATATTGCATGATTCCATGGTCACTAGGCTGTAGTTCTTGGGTTAACTGGATTATGTATGGGCTCAAATGCAAGTCTTTTTTAAGATAGTGCATAATGACGATGTCTGACCTTGGCAAGTCTCTAACTTCACCTGTTTGATCAAATTTCAGTACCAACTGACGAATGGTGTTAACACTATTTTGACCGAAATCTTGTCGTAGCTTCCGAATCGTTGCAACAATCGACTCATTATTCAAGCAAAACGTTTTAACAATACGAACGCGTTGTGGGATCGTGTAGCGCTCGATGATGAATTGGACACATGTGCTGTGAACGGCGCCACCTATTGAAATGCGTGTATCAAACATGGCGCATAATTTAAATCAGTCAGTTATATATTGGCCACCTTGTAGTTAACTATAATATGTTAAAATGTAGCTTGTTCATATTCGAAAATACCAAACGAAACATTAGTTCCCATCCATGTACTTTTACATTGCATATGTTAAGCACAACTATTTTTGTCCGACATCCGATAGATGGCGCTGTCATTGCGCACCTAGTGAGCACGGATTGCATCAGGAACTGAGATTTTCGCTCTCTCTGATTTCTAGTTCTCTGGAAGCGACCGAATCCCGACCATTTGGCTTGGAATAAAGCTATTTGCACATGATAATATTGTCTTTTATATTTGAATGGACTTGCCCCGAACGAAAAATTTGAATAACTTTATTCCTTTCGAGCTACTTATGTTCAACAGGATATTATTATCCTTTTATTACGTTTTTTAGCTTAGTCCAGGTGGTGGAGGTATTCTTACCCACTCGGGTATTCAGAATGTTAGGCTTGTCCCTGAAGTTATTAAAATTATCTTCAGCTTCAAATGATAATTTTGAATGAAAAATTCGCTATGGTGTTGTTCGCACTGTATATTAGAAACGAAACCGAAATCGCCAAACAATAAAGTAGGCATAAATAACCGAAAGGAACAACCTTTAAATGTTTGCATGCTCTGCGTCCACTGAAGGAATTTCCGATATTTCCAGTGGAATGTGTTTAAACACTGTACTGCTGCCACTACAACAAAATATAGATATCTTTTATTTCTCCTAATTTGCTTTGCAGATTTAGATGAAATTGTAGATCAATAAATCATATTTAAGGACATAATTTGTGCCGGTTATATCCAACTGAATTGCCCCAGGGGATGCGTTATCAAATTTTAGCCGCATACATCGGATCTTAACTAAGCACGCCACTGGTCTTCTTTTGGGTATAATCAAAGGACTTTATACGAACAAAAATTGCCGCTGGTTTACTGAAAAACAATCACAAAGTCTGCAGCTATGAAAACCAACCAATCGGGACTCATAGAACTTGCAGATTTTGATCCGTCTGAAGTCAAATATATTCTAGTATTTGTATAGTAAATATGGGTATTATTGTTTTTCCCGTCGCCGGATGAATAAATTTAGGATGATCCAGTGGTATTCCCACATTTCCAATTAATCCTGGGAGTTTTATTATTTTCCTATTGCTAACTCTTGCTTCCAAGTGGAAAAATGTTTTTAAAAGCTCCTTGGCCGCAGTGATCAAGATCTTGGTAGTAGAGCAAGAAATGACGGTTTTAGAAACTTTTATTCAATGGATGTTAACATTGTCCTCGTATCTTAATCTAAGCGCAAGTTAATATTAACAATGATTTTTCCATCTTGCTCTGGGCGGATGACTGGCCCTGATCCTGAACGTGGACCTGGGCGAGGTCCTGGACCGGGACGTGGGCCTGGACCTGGACGTCTTCTATCGTCACCATCATCGGGCCTTGGGAGCCTCCTATCACTGTCGTCATCAGGGCGAGGTCCTGGGCGTCTTCTGTGATTGTCATCATCAGGGCGGGGTCCTGGACGTCTTCTGTCACTGTCGTCATCAGGGTGGGGTCCTGGGCGTCTTCTGTCACTGTCATCATCGGGGCGAGGTCCTGGACGTCTCCTGTCACTGTCGTCATCAGGGCGGGGTCCTGGGCGTCGTCTGTCACTGTCGTCATCAGGGCGTGGTCCTGGGCGTCTTCTGTCACTGTCGTCATCAGGGCGGGGTCCTGGGCGTCTCCTGTCACTGTCGTCATCGGGGCGGGGTCCTGGGCGTCTCCTGTCACTGTCGTCATCGGGGCGAGGTCCTGGACGCCTTCTGTCACTGTCGTCATCAGGGCGGGGTCCTGGGCGTCTTCTGTCACTGTCGTCATCAGGGCGGGGTCCTGGGCGTCTTCTGTCACTGTCGTCATCAGGGCGGGGTCCTGGACGTCTTCTGTCACTGTCGTCATCAGGGCGGGGTCCTGGGCGTCTTCTGTCACTGTCGTCATCGGGGCGGGGTCCTGGGCGTCGTTTGTCACTGTCGTCATCAGGGCGTGGTCCTGGGCGTCTTCTGTCACTGTCGTCATCAGGGCGGGGTCCTGGGCGTCTCCTGTCACTGTCGTCATCGGGGCGAGGCCCTGGACGCCTTCTATCACTGTCGTCATCAGGGTGGGGTCCTGGGCGTCTTCTGTCACTGTCGTCATCAGGGCGGGGTCCTGGGCGTCTTCTGTCACTGTCGTCATCAGGGCGGGGTCCTGGACGTCTTCTGTCACTGTCGTCATCAGGGCGGGGTCCTGGGCGTCTTCTGTCACTGTCGTCATCGGGGCGGGGTCCAGGGCGTCTCCTATCACTGTCGTCATCGGGACGAGGTCCTGGACGTCTCCTGTCACTGTCGTCATCGGGGCGAGGTCCTGGACGCCTTCTGTCACTGTCGTCATCAGGGCGGGGTCCTGGGCGTCTTCTGTCACTGTCGTCATCAGGGCGGGGTCCTGGGCGTCTTCTGTCACTGTCGTCATCAGGGCGGGGTCCTGGGCGTCTTCTGTCACTGTCGTCATCAGGGCGTGGTCCTGGGCGTCTTCTGTCACTGTCATCATCAGGGCGGGGTCCTGGGTGTCTTCTGTCACTGTCGTCATCAGGGCGGGGTCCTGGACGCCTCCTGTCACTGTCGTCATCAGGGCGGGGTCCTGGGCGTCTTCTGTCACTGTTGTCTTCGGAACGCTTGTCATCTTTGTCACCTGAATCTCAAAAGTGGACAGCTAATAATAAGGAAGAGCAACTAACAAATAAGAAGTTGATAATAGGTACACGCACGTTAAATAGGAAGTATGCCTCTGGTGATTCTAGGTATGCCCATGCCATGTGGTCCAAATGCTGATAAAGTCGATAAGCCTGTACTGGCAAGACATACATTAAAAGGAGGTATTTATTCTTAAGAAACTTAGTATCTCATAGACTTAACAGACTAAATGACTCAAGGTTTGAAAGATTCAAAGTTAAAGTCAAAATATCATCCCAGATTTTATTTGGTTACCCAACAATTGAAGTTGATGAACCAGTGTCAAGCTTCGCCAGGTAGTACTAATTTCATATCAGACGACATGTCGACGACTCAAAATAATCTGTCGCATGTACAATTTTGCTCAAACAGTTTTGAAAAAATCACCGTTGCTGCATTGCTATGTCCTACATTTCCGTATTTGTTTATAGATTTGCTGAGCGTATAAGTGCAACAAAAAAAAATAATAATTTTCGGTTAGGAAATGAACTTGAAAAACTGCTAAACGAATATATCTGTGATAATTTTTAACATTTTAAACGTAAGATATAAGTTGGCCAACTCAACAAGTCGTGTACATACTGTGTGGAAACGGTCTATAGCTTTCTTATTACGCATGGTATCTGGAAACGGTAGATACAAAAATTGTTTGCCAACAGCATGCTTCTGAGCGGAAAATATGTTTGACCCTACAGGGTGATTCCTAACTACATGGTGACCCTAACGTACATCTTTTTGAATAGAATTCCCTAGGGTTTTATTGCAGATTTGGATAGGCTCTCTCCAGCGACGCAATTTTTTGTATAACATACTATAGAGTTTTGTTTGCAAATTGTTCAGGTATCACACCGTCTATCGAAAAAAACACTCAAATTTGACAACTCGAATCTGTGCAACTGTTCTAGTGCTGCTAATGCTGAATTTCTTGTCAGAAAGATTATACCATCTCATATTTTTTCCCTATCTGCTAACAGTTTTTTAAATGAACGCAAAATAAACTGTAAAAATTTTCAGATGCAACACCCTTGTTACATTGTTTCTTTCTCATGTTTTTTATTGATATAGGGTTTGCGATTATTTGTACGATTGGTTTTTGAGTTACTAATAACACAGGGATGCCTTCTTGACTTTTTCGGCTTCATTGCGTAGGATCGGGTAGATTTAATCTGACTTACAAAAGGGTTTGCTGAAACTCAAAAACTAGTCATACTTTAAAAAAGCTTGTGAAAATGGGAATCAAAGAGTGTGAAAATATTCATTTGAAATTTTTTGAATAGTTCACTTTTCGTTCGTGAGGAGCCAGTATTAGTATTTGTCCTACGAAGCTGGGTGTTTTTTTTTAGATAGTCCAATATCTCCATAATCTAAAAAGAAAATGCCATAGTATGGTATATCAAATTATTTCATTTGAAAGTGGCTTTCCAAATATGCAATTAAATGTAGTGCTGAGTATTATGTGTTTGGGTCACCACGTACCCAAGGGTATAAATATGTTCCAAGTAAGGAGTATGCTATAATTTTTTTGTTTAACTTTACTAGGTACCGAATTCAGACAAAACACTCACCCTGTATGTACTCTACAAAAGTGTATAAATTAACCAGCGTTATACTACATTTAAGACGATTTTAGGTATTTTTCCAGGCAAAAATTTATGATTTTGGTAGAGGATCAGAAAAGAATGCAAAACAACACTTATACCAAGTTTCCGAAATTTTCATTACCGATCCAAAAATTTAAATAAAAAATACGATTGATTTTGTGAAATCTGTACGATTGGTCACGGTTATCTAGGATATGAATGTAGCAGCGGTGGTTTTTTCAATATTTTTGGAGCAAAACCTATCGACTCAATCTGAAAGTTTGAGGGCATTTTCTTATGTTACCCTTTGTGTAAAATTAAATCTTACCTGAATTTCCAGCATCCCATGACGACGAATCAAAAACGCCTAGGATTTCCTCGCTGTTGATATCGTTCTGAGAATAATCACTGAGTTCATTTTTATCGACGTCATACTGAATGGGCTGAAAAATATATTAATTTCACCTTGTGTAAACAATATCATAATTTGTAATAAAAGATAATAATTATATAAATTTCCGTTTGAAGTCCATATGATACATCTACAGGGTGTTTCCAAAACACGAAGTTCGAAGACTAATCCTCATTCTAAGACTTTCGAAATATCGCTTCGTTTCGACAGGTAACTAGTGATGCCTAATAATATGATGGTGCAAACAGAAAACAACTGACTCATTCAGACTGCCAGAAATGAACTGGTCCTAATGTTTCGGCAAAGCTCGATTCTTTTATTTAAGAGTAAGTGATCTTGTTCGATATGGATAAAATGAGTCATTTTAGATAGTGACAATTTTGTTTTACTACTTTCTTTTTTCCAACCTTCTGGGGATTGGCTGCAGTATTAAAAAAGGGTGTAATACTCGAAAGTGGTTCATTTTTTAGAAAAAAAAGGAAAGTATTTTTCAGATAAATGCTTATGCTTTTTATCAATATTTCTCTTAAACTATTATTTTCCAGGGTGTAAAAAAAGCAATATAGCATTGAAGCCAATTCATCCATCTGGATACTATACTGTCAAAAATTATACAACGTTGCCCCAAGGTTATTTAGGTAGAACCCATTTCCAGTGGCACCTACGTTTTAAAAGTCATCTGTGCATTTTAATATAACGAATATAAAGAATCAACAGGCGATGAAGGTGAGACTTTCCAACGGTAGAAGATGACTTCCAATGAATATATTCCCTGAAACACCTTGTGGAAGTCTCGTTGATCTATCTCCAGGTTGCTCAGCTCGCTGAATAAAGCCACAGCTATCGTGCTAGCCGAGACGTCAGTAGACTGATTTTCTTAACCTCATGTGGTTTTACTTAGCAACCCAAACAACATATAGATGAAGACGTTTTTGCATGCAAAATTGTAGTACAGGAGATAATTTTGACAAGTGGAAAGTAAATTTGGTTTTTCATTTAAAAATTTTAAACTGATTTCTTCCAAATCAATAGATACAATGGTTTCATTGACAGGAAGCACGAAGGAATGGGAATGAATATAGTTTACAGCCGTTGTTCTAAAATATGACAGCTTTACAGAATTTAAGATTTTCTAGAAGATATGCACAAAAATAGAAAATATCCTAAGAAATCAAGCCCTGAAGCAATACAATATGTTTACGGATCACTCCATGTAACATACATTAAAACTAAAAAGTTTCTTTAGTCATTTTCCATTTTCATCGATTGGGTGGCCACTTTGTGTTTGGTTGATTATAGTGATACAATATTTTTTCTTACCTGTGAGTGGGTGATGGCTGCAAAAGCCAGGAGTAGTAGTATGATCTTCATCTTGCGGCACACTGAAGATTCCTGCTGTTTTCGATTTTTCATTTAATATTTATATCCGTTGCTATCATTACTTCAGTAACCCCCTCTCATTGAGATTTTGATGATATTTTTGTCTTTGTAATTAAGCATAAGAGGCTCTTCAACGACATTTTTATCACTACGCGACACTGAGTCACGCAATTACCTGCAAAAAAACAGCTCGTTTACTGATCTACGGTGATGATCTGTTCTGATAACTAACACTGTGAGTAATTTCACCAATCGCGGTACTGCCACTCCACGATGGGAAAGGAAGATACAGAACCAGAAAAAATCTTCATTCATGGAAATAATAATAATAATAAACGTCTTTAGTAAAGGGCGAAGTTTAGGTTAAGGCTATTCTGCCACATGCGAATTCAAAAAAAAATAGTTGTTTCCCATTCTTTGGGGAGAAAACCCCAAAATAAATAAAAATCCGGAACCCAAGGTGTCAAACGTTACCGTGCCGAGGGGTGAATGGCCCTACGTTAGTGGGTCTTGAACGGTGTGCTCCGGATACCAGGTGCCCTCCGGTTCTATTTAGCCTTCCTACAGTATCCAGGCTCTGCTGTAGGTGACCGTTACTTCCTGTATGACTCGTGGGACTTAGATGAATATTCCAAACCCAAATTTGATAGAGTTGTCCGACTCTCAAAACACGGAACATACGGGTTTATCCGAAACCCAGCTTAGATCGTGTCAGGAAAAGGCGGTAACTCCCCGGTTCCTGACCATAGTTAAAAAAACTGGTGGCGATTACGCCACAGTGAGTCCGTTCGTGATCCAGAAAAGTCTATTTGGTTTAGTAGGAGAATTAAGAAAAGTCAGTAAAGTTCGTGAAGGTCTACTTGTAGAATGTGTGTCGGAGAAACAATCGAATGCATTACAAAGGGTTACAAGATATTTAGATGAAGATGTGACTATACAGGGCCATAAAACCCTGAATCTAACAAAGGGTGTTGTATATTGTACGGATCTACTGAATTGTCCACTTGAAGAGATCCGAGAAGAACTCGCTGGTCAAGGAATAATTGATGTTAGGCGGATTACAACAAGAATAAATGGCGTGGTAAAAGACACACCAAACCATATTCTCACTTTCAACAGCACCAAACTGCCAGAGAAAATTAAAGTTGCCTTTTACTCCCTTCCAGTGCGGATGTATGTGCCTGCCCCCTTACGTTGTTTCAGATGCCAAAAATTTGGCCACGCTTCTTCTAAATGTCAGCAACAAGCCATTTGTGTGTGCGGAAGTCCACTCCATGAAGGATATCCATGCCAACACCCAATTTCCTGTATAAATTGTAATGGAAATCATTCAGCGCGATCCAAGAGCTGCCCTATTTATAAACAAGAGGCAGCTATCCAAGAAATAAGGGCAAAGGAACGATTGGGATATTTAGAAGCAAAAAAAAAGGTAGTTGTCAACACTCCACAGCCTAGGGTATCATATGCCCAGTCTGTTTCTACTTTTCCCCAGATAGATTCAAAATTTCTTGTACAAGAACTACTACCACCTCTTATCACTGCCTTGAAAAGCGCCCTTAACCCTGAAGAACATGATAAAGAAAAATTACCTGCGCCTTCAACATCTCATGTTAAGCTACATAAGTCCAACACCGTAGTTGAAGAAGCAACGCTGGGCTCCTCGTCAGAAGAGTCAGTGGACTTACAATCTTCAAAATCAGAAATAACACCGAAACGGCGTGGGAGAAAAAAGAAAAAGGGTTGGCCCAGGGGAAAACCTCGGAACACAACCTCTTAAAATATTTATAGTTTGATAAACATCTTATTTTAATCTTTAACTTATTACAGTACTTACCAGTTAGTTTTATTTATATCCAATACCACTGCATATATTTATATTATCTTCGCATTTATAACATTTACTCACTATTCATTATAATTTAACTTTAAACAAAACAAAAAAAAATAACACATACAATGGAATCAATAATTTATTGGAACTGCAATGGTATCGTACAAAAATATTGCGACCTAAAAATATTACTGCATGACCATGACCCCATCTGCGTATGTGTGCAAGAGACTCACTTACGTCCTAATTTTCCGTATAACCTAAAAAGGTATAACATCATTAGGAAGGATATCTCATCTGAAAGCAGAGCTCATGGAGGTGTTGCAAATATTATTAAGAAAGATGCTAACTTTGAAAATATCCAAATAATGTCTCCATTACAGGTCGTTGCAACCAGGATCTTAACTCCATTTAAGGTAACTGTTTGCAACATCTACCTTCCAAATGGGGAATGGCAATTGGAGGACATTGAGTATATCATCTCGCAGCTACCCACACCATTTCTACTTGTAGGAGACTTCAATGCGCACAGTCTATTATGGGGATCTACTAGAACTGACTGTCAAGGGCGCTCAATTTCCGAACTATTAGAAAGAGATGACCTTACATTGCTAAATGATGGTTCACCCACACACTTTTCTGCGCGTTGTCAAAGCTTCTCAGCAATTGATTTGGCTATATGTTCATCCACAATTGCTGGACGTGTCATCTGGTCTGTCTTAGATGATCTTCATAACAGTGACCATTTTCCATGCAAGGTGACCCTCGATACACACAAAGCCAATACACAAATTCCTCAATACTGGATCATGCGAAAAGCAGATTGGCATACATATGAACAGCAATTTTCCTCCTTGGAACTTTCTCAGGACAGCAGTGTATCGGTAGAGTTTATAACAAACGTTATAAATGAAGCGGCTCTTACTAGTATCCCACTCAGTAGAGGTATCCCAGGTAGACGTACACTACCCTGGTGGAATAGTGAAATTGCTGAATCTATCAAAATAAAGAAAAATATGCTAAATACATTCAGAAGGCATCCTTCCACGGCAAATTTGATTTCCTTTAAGCGGGCCAGAGCTAGGTCTCAACGCCTAATGTTGGAAAATCAAAGGCAGTCGTGGAAAGATTATGTATCCAGCATAACATCTGAGTCCCCATCAAGTGAGGTATGGAATAAAGTTCGCTCGATCAAGGGTAATGGATCACTAAGACAAATAAACCACCTCCGCAAAATAGACGGAACAACCATAAATGATGAAAATAGCATCGCCAATCACCTTGCAGACCATTTTGCTAACATCAGCAGCTCCTCCAACTATAGTCAGACCTTTAGAGCCCAGAAAATGCAACGAGAGATCCATATAGATTTTTCCACAAATAATTGTCTCAATTATAATGTTTCCTTTGAAATGCATGAATTAGAGGCAGTACTTCAATATGTCTCCAGATCAGCTCCAGGTCCAGATAAGATTAATTATGAAATGATCGTACATCTACCACAGAAATTGAAAGTAATCCTGCTGAACATCTACAATGAGATATGGGTAAATGGTGTATATCCTACATGTTGGAAACTTGCCACAATTGTACCAATTTTGAAAGATGGTAAAGATCCCCTGGTGGCTTCCAGTTATAGACCTATAAGCTTAACCTGCTGTCTGGGTAAGATACTGGAAAGAATGATTTGTGAACGTTTAATGTGGATTTTGGAAAATGATGAACTGCTTGTAGGACACCAAGCAGGATTCAGGAGGTTTAGATCCACATTGGACCAACTAGTCTACGTTGAAGACTTGATACAAAATGGCTTCAAAAACAGACAGCATACTGTCGCTGTAATGTTTGATGTAGAAAAAGCCTATGATATGACGTGGAGATATGATATCCTCAAACAGTTACATCGCTGGGGAATTAGAGGAAATCTACCAATACTTATATCATCATTTTTGACAGATCGTCTCCTCCAAGTACGAATAGGAAATACCTTTTCCACAACACGCATCATGGAAAATGGTATCCCACAGGGATCAACCCTCAGCTGCATTCTTTTTGCGATAGCAATAAACTCCATCACTGAGAATGTCAATCCTGCTATAAACCAATGCTTATATGTTGATGACTTATGCATTTTAACTTCAGGAAAAACTGTTGGTGAAACTACTCGACTTCTACAACCTGCTATTGATACCATCTTTCAGAATGCTAAGAACAAAGGATTGACCCTATCACGGATAAAAACACGATGTATCCATTTCTGTAGGCTTAGACGACCACACTATGATCCACGCCTCTGTCTCAACAATGAACGCATACCCTGTGTGTCTTCTGTAAAATTCTTAGGCCTAACACTCGACAGTAAACTGACATGGAGAGAACACATTGAGGATCTTACCAACAGGTGCAAGAGAGCCCTAAACCTAATAAAATGCCTGTCGTCAACACGATTCGGAGCAGAAGCTGAGATGCTGTTGCGGATATACAAGAGCATCATTCTATCTAAGCTTGACTACGGTAGCATTGTTTACTCATCTGCAAGACCGTCACTGCTTAAAAAACTTGATACAGTTCACAACCAAGGATTACGTCTCTGCCTTGGAGCATTTCGTACAACTCCAGCAGCTAGCCTCTATTGCGAATCCGGAGTTGAACCTCTATCCATTAGACGTAAAAAACTTGCACTATCGTATTCTGCACAGATTCAAACACGACCATTCCATAGAAACTTTTCTATCATTTTCAGTACGGATGAGAGCTACATCTGTCGCCCCACAATAACAAGACCTCTCAGAGTCCGAGTTAAAGAATATGCCGAGGAAATTGGTATATCATGTAACCCTATCTATAATGTTAAACACAGAGAATCTCCTCCATGGCTGTCACCCAAAATAAATGTGAATCTCGAGCTGACTGCACTATCTAAGAATGACCATCCATCTGAACTCATAAAATCACGTTTTATGGAAATCGTTTCTAGATATCCGGCAGCAACAGTTATCTATACAGATGGATCGCGAACTGACAGTGGTGTCGGCTGTGCTATAGTAGTCGATCAAACTGCACATCAATGGACACTATCACCAATAGCATCCATATTTACTGCTGAACAATATGCTATTTGGCAGGCCCTACGATACTGTGACATGTCGAATAACATAACAACAGCTATTATAGCTAGTGACTCGCTCTCAGCACTTCAAGGCCTAATGAACTATGCATCTCGAGATTCCTTAACTGTGATGTGTCTTGAAACTGTCAAACATCTCTTAAATAAAGGGGTAAACGTAAAATTTCTGTGGTTGCCAGGACACGTTGGTATACAGGGGAATGAAGCTGCTGATATGGCAGCGAAAGCAGCAGCAGCGCAACAAAACATCGACATCCCTGAAATAAAAATGTCTGATCATAAAAAGTACCTCATAAACCGTATACAGCGACACTGGCAAATTACATGGGGTAACACTGATACCCACTTAAGACAGATAAAACCTAGTGTAGGATTATGGCCACATCCTATCAGACTGCCACGAGAGGAATGGGTGCGCATACATCGCTTACGCTTTGGCCACACACGTCTTACACATGCACATCTTTTGCTCGGAACAGATCCGCCCTTGTGCACTGGATGTAACTCTTCACTCACTGTACGCCACATTATCTGCACATGTCCGATATTGTGGCAATATCGAGTGATCTATGGACCATTTGATAACCTGACAGAGAGTCTCACACAACCAGAAAAACTGAAAAACGTCATATCATTCTTAAAAGTATCTGGTTTCTATTGGAAGATCTGACCTAATGAACTTTTTGGAAATGAACCATTTTAATTTTTGTGTATCTTATTCTCAACTGAGATTAAATGAATGTTATGTAACGATGATTTTGCATCATACCTACCTTATCTTAGTATTGTCATCTTGAACTAAAAGAAACATGCAACAATAGAATTTGGATAAATCGAAATACTTACGTGAACGCAAACAAGATCGTGAAATGCAGATAATGACCACAAAAAAAAAAAATTAATATTAATGAATATATGCCTGACAAATTTAGTCGTGTAACATTTTCCAGAAATTATCTTTTGTCGCTAATAGAATCTGAAAGTAAATGACAATAGTATATCCTTTTCGATTAATATCTGGAATTTGCGTAGTTAGTTTTTTAAAAATGCGACACTTACCACTTAGACATGTAAGAGATTATATATTTTATACTTTAGATTTATATATTATATTTATATATTATTGAATACGGCTAATAACCAGAGAAGTTGACGCCGTCAAAAAAAAAAAAAAAAAAAAAAAAAAAAAAAAATAAATATGTAAAACTAATATAGTGGTCAAACTATGTAGGTAAGCTAACATTAAAGTTGTTTTTAACATAATTTCTGAAAGGTTTTTTTTTTATTTTGAAGGGTTTAGTTTGAGGTTATGATTTTTTGCATATGCACTAATTGATTTTATGTCTTCATTAATTTCATATTCAGCGAGTTGCTACTATGGAAGTGATTATAAATTTGAGAGTTATCAGCACATTTGAGTGTGCAAGTCTGCGATATATAAATTAAATAACAATGGTCCGACTACCGAACCTTGGGGTACTCCAGATGAAATGGCACGTTTAGGCGGCACATTCATATCGATAGTAACTCTTTGGAAGCGATTATCTAAGAAACTACCCATCATATTTTATACAAGAATCGGAAAAACCGTAAAATTTACATTTAGCGAGTAGCCCGCGATGATTTAGTCCAGCGGTCGCATACCGGTAGCTCGCAAAGGCAATTGTGGTGACTCACATCATATTTTAAAAAGGTATAAAGATCATAGAAGCTTCCGTAAACTTTGTATATTCTCATAATAAACACAAGCAGCGGCAACACTGTGGTGAGCGATCTGTTCGAGAACGATCTGGATTACTTTGAACGGAATAAATATGCAAGGCGCTCAGTTTAAAACTGAACGGCACAAAGTCCAGCGGTTGGGTTAGAGTTGGCCGGCAATTAAAGACATTATGAGCAGTAGTAAGAAGATGAAGACATTCCATTTCCATTCGGAATGGGAAGAAAAATATTTCTTTACAGAAGTTGAAGGTAAAAATGTATGTTTGTTATGTATCACATCTACATTACAAAACTGTATATTCGAATTTTGAAAAATCATTCACATTACGTTCTGCAACGAGAACGGAAAAATTGAAACGATTAAAAAATCAGTTAATTGGTCAACAGACAATGTTTTTAACAACAATCGACAAAAGTAAGGCTGCAACTAAAGGATCATACCGGGTGTCCCAGATAACTACATAAAAGAAGAAACCTTAGGAAGACGGGGAAATGATAAAACATGCGTTTTTAGAAGCTGCAGATTCGTTATTTGCCAACTTCAGAAATAAAGACGAGATAGTGTCTGCTATAAAATCTATGCAACTTTCTGCTAATGCGACGAGTAGAGGTAATGAGAAATAGTTTTACAGCTAAGAAATGACTTTGACAACTGTGCTTATTTTTCACTGCAGCTGGATGGATCCACAGATGTCGTTGAAAGTAGCTCACTATTTATTCCAAAATTATCAAACTAGCTCAACACACTGCAAAGGTTGGCGACCACTGATTTAATCTATCAAATGTCTTACTTAAATCAAGAAGCGCTAGTGTTGTTATCATATGCTGATCCCACGTTTTAACGATGTCAGCTCCAATAATACATCTGCAGAATTGTACCCCCCTCGGAAACCTCATTGTGTTGATGGTAATATTTGAGATTCCGATAGCTATTCATTTATTTGAGCGTACATTCTCTTCTCCAATAATTTAGATATTAATTGTGAACAAAAAATTCAATTCCCATCTTTTTTGGTGCGCTAAGGTTACTTGTTTTCATGGTTTTGGGACGGTACGTAGTGAGCAGAGCGGCTAAATTAAAAAAAATTACTCTCATAGGAAAACGCTTCTTCTTAGGCCCGTATCGTCAGTCGTCCCTAACATTGTAGGGCACCTTTATGGCCTCCTTGATTGTCATAGTTTTCTACTTCTCCGTGTCAGCGCTCTATTTTGAGGTTATGTCACAAACATCTATTTGCATCAAATTGTGCTTGCTTTTGAGTTATATCCTGTTTTATCAGCCTTGAAATTGCCTTCAATTTAAAAAGAAAACATATCTTCACAATAGGAGAGCGCTGACGCTCACACGGGACAAGTGTAATCTAGAAATTTTTGAAGGAGAGAAAGGAATATGACAATCAAGGAGGCCATAAACGCGCCCTACAATTGTAGGGGCGACTGACGATACGGGCCTTAAGTGCTGAGCGACAGCTACAATATTTGCGCATAAAACTGTGCCTGAAAAACTACCAGACAATGTAACATAATTTGTCATATACCTCGACCTTGTTGTTTGAGCAATTATTAAATTTAAATTGCTTTATGAAGGTTTAATTACTACCTAAACAAGAGACTCGCCCAGATTTGACGTCAACATGCTTGATGCTTTATAGTAATGCACGAAAATGGTGACATCACGAGATATTTTACGAGCCCTGTGCCCTCTGTAATAGATTTCACTTGTCCAATATAGCGAATTACTTCTCAGATAAGCCGGTTAAATCCCTTCAAAAGAGACGATCAGGAACACAATTGTTAAGATATTGAAGGAAAGCAGCAGAGGTACAGCAAATATTTTTACTTTACAATTTAATCACAACTTACTCTTGCTCATGTCTAGCTGTGTGCAAAGTATCATCCAAATAAAATAATTTTTACTGAGTGTTATATGTTCTTTGTCCCTATGTATTCTTTCAGCAGAATAGCGAGGGAAAATTTGGAATTATTAATGGTGGTATCCATTGCTTGCTACATAATGCGATCTAACCCCGCTTCTCATCTTTGTGCAAATTCTCCAAGGTTAAAGCCCATTCAAGCAATCTGCATGCAATCAATGACCTTGACTGTAGAAAATTATTTATAAAAAAAACAAAACTAAATAATAAAAAAACAAAACCCTCATAGATCTTTTGATAACATAAGCATGTCATTTTCCATGATTGTTTGCTTTATTTGAATAAACAAAATCTCGACGTACCTTTTGGGTCGTCCTTCACAGTTTTTTTTAGGACGAAATTGGATTTTCAGTATCAAAAGTTGTTCCTAAAGACTATAAGACACTGCTAAGTAAAGCTTTACTCTTACGGAACGTGACCTGTCATATAAATTTTACTTGGAAGGTCTTGTGGATGAGTTTTTTTATACATTGAACACATCGTCTGACAAAGAAGGCACCTATACACATGTCAATGAACCCAGCGGTAGACTGCTGGCCTAAAGTAAAGACCGTTTCTGTCTAACTCAAAGGATTGAGAAAATTACTAGCAATAAAATGCACTGAATTTATTACTACTTCACATAAATAGATATAATATAGACTTCAGACGAGTTTTCGACAGGTTAAGCATCCTTAGTTATTTTAAATCATACGTTGAGCTTCTTCTGTAGTTTGATGAGTTTTGGTAGGCAAGTCTTGTTCTGTCGTTTCCTGAGCGTCTGTCGTTTGAGACTGTTCCGTTGTGGCCTTGGTGGTCTTATGCCATGGCCAGCAACCAAATTTCGGATGACACAATTCTTTCTTTGCGGTGTGAGCCTGTTTTGTAGTCTTCGATTTTTCAGTAGTGCTTTTGTCCCAAGGCCATCTTGGTACATTTTCTGCTTGATGTGTTCGAGCCTTTTCAGTTGTTTTTGATGGCTCGGGGGTTTGAGATGATGTAGACTTTTCAGTTGTGGTTTTGTGCCAAGGCCAAATCTGTTCACCTTTTCCGTTGAATTCACCAGATTCCTCATGGTATCTATTTGAACGTTGAAGTTCTTGTGATTCTGATCCAGATTCTTCTCCAAAATGTGATGCTAATTTACTGCTGCTGCCTACATTAGCAACTTTGGGAACCTCAGCAGAGCCAGGAGGAGGATTTGCACAGGAGGTCAGCTGTAAAATAAAAAGCGTTTTAGTATCCAAGATGGTGCCTTGAAGGGGTTCATTTATATAACCTTAATGCTTATTGGAAGTGCAATTCCAAATAGTGTAAATATACTAAGTGACATATAAATCCGAACACCCAGTTTAAATGGTTTTATTTTAATAAAATTTTGTATAAGCACTTAATGAAGCATAATAAGTAAATGATAAAAATTTCAAAATGATTGCACTGCTTTGACCTTTAATAATGTGTGGATGCACCCTGATGTGCTACGCATTCTCCAACGCGCCTAGACATGCTTCTGATCAGGTGGTCAATGTCCTCCTGTGGTATGTCATTCCAGACAACCACCAACTCCTCTCGAAGTGCTTCTAGAGCCTGAGGAGGTCGTTGCAAATTGAGCAATGTACCCATCATATCCCACACGTGCTCAATTGGGCATAAGTCGGGAGATCTTGGTGGCCATGGTAACAATGTGACATCATTATGTTGAAAGAAGTCTATTGTGACTCTTGCAACATGTGGTCGGGCATTATCTTGTTGGAAAGTTGGATCTGCTAGGGTGTCAAGATAGGGTAAAAGATGGGGTTCTAGAACTTCGTGGATATAACGCTTCACGTTCATGTTACCTCTGATGAAGATTAAAGGTGACCTGGAACCATAAGCTATAGCACCCCAAACCATAATTCCAACAGTGTGATGAACATGTCACAAAAAACTGTGGATTCCTCCTTTCACCACGTCGCCTTCTAACCCTGGCACGACCATCCTGCATGCTTAAACAAAATCGAGACTCGTCACTAAAGACAATAAATACTGTTCCATTCCTGATCCCAGAGTGAGCGTTGTCTGCACCACTCAAGGCGATTACGTCGGGGTTCTCGAGTTAAAGGGAGGACCCAGTGTGGCCGGTATGAAAACAAGCCAAAACTTCTCATTCGTCGGTAAACACTTCACATGCCAATAGGTCTTTCGTGTTCTGCAAACCATTCATTTGCAATGGATCTGGTAGTGGAGAAACGGTCCCTCAAGGCCAATAATCTTAGGCGGCGATCTTCACGGTCTGTTGTTCTACGGCGGCGTCCAGTGCCCCTTGCTCTTTGCGTACGGCCTTCTCGAAGCCATGCCTGACAACACCTAACCACAGTGTCTACACTTCTTTGCACTCTAACTGCAATTGCCCGAAAAGAAAGTCCAGCTTCCCCAAGTCCCACTATACGGCCCCTATCAAACTCACTAAGTTGACGAAATCGTACAGGTCTCCGTACTCTAGGCATCGTAACCGATCGTAAAGGATGTCAAGAACCAAAATCCGCCAACGTTGATCCTTTACTGCGGCTGAAATATTCATTTTTAGAGCGTTAGTGAATTAAAAAAAAGCAGTATAAAAACCGGAATTTCCAACTGATAAGGCTGAAAATTGTTTCACTTGTTTCTACAGTAAGATAAATATATTCACCAACTTTTATTAAAATAAAACCATTTAAACTGGGTGGTCGGATTTATATGTCACTTAGTATACAATTTGTGGATGACGAGGCGCACTTCCATTTATCTGGCTATACCAACAAACAAAATTGTTGTTATTGGAGTTCAGAAAATCCACAGGAGCTCCACGAACAACCATCACATAGCCCGAAAGTGACGGGTATGGTGTGCGACATCTTCGGTTTGAATTATATATAATATATGATAAACTAGTTTTTGAGTCATAGCTTAAGCAGATTTCCACATAATAGTCAAACATTGTTCCAGCCGGATGGTGCTACTTACCCAAAGCAAAATGTGTTCATTAATAAAGCAAGAACCATTCAGGAGCTTAAGAGAATCATTATTGAAGAAATTGTTGGATTCCTGTGGATATGTTGAATCGTGTTATGGCGAATTTCCATGGAAAAATTCAAGACTGTATACAGAGAAGGGGAAGACACTTACAAAGTACAATCTCAGAAAGATTCTACAATTCCCGTGAGCTTGTCCGATCCGTATAAAATAAATGAGGCATTCATTTCAATTTTCGAGAATAGTGATTTGGCTTGTGCTGATAAAATTGCATATTACCGAGCTAATAAAAATAACTCAAAATTCTAATTTCAATTCAATAAAGTGACTATTGACACCGTTGTTAAAATTATACATAAAATAGAATCAAATTCTAGTGGTACAGATGAAATAACTTTGCATATGATACTACTATGTATACCTGAAATTGATGTGTACTTAACGCATATTATAAACTGCTGTTTAGAGAGGGGATATTTCCCCAATCAGTGGAAACGCGCTATAGTTATTCCGCTACCTAAGTGTTCTGATCCTACTAACTATGGTCAACTGAGACCGATCAGTCTACTGCCAATTTTCTCTAAAGTATTGGAACGCGTTGCTTACGAGCAGCTCTGCGCCTACTTATATTAATTTTTCCATCTAAACAATCTGGATTTCGACAAGGTCACAATACAGCTTTGGCACTCTGTGATTTAACAGACAATATAACAATGGCACTTGATAACCAAAAAGCAGTAGCTCTCATACTTCTTGACTTTACTAAAGCATTTGACACCATTAATCACTCACTTCTTGTATCTAAATGCAGTTACTATGGATTTTCTGAAAAACCTCTTTCGTTTATTCAAACCTACCTTGAAAATCGGTATCAAAAAGTTCGTCTAAATCAACAGTACTCTACGGAACAAAAAATTTGTTCTGGTGTACCACAGGGATCAGTCTTAGGACCGCTATTATTTTCATTATATATCTCAGATTTAGAAACAGAGGTAAAATCATGCAGCATACAATTTTTTGCAGATGATAATCAAATTTTCTATTCATTTAGGAGTAATGACTTGGAAACGGCAAATAATAAAATTAATCAAGATCTTGCCCAAATTGAAAAGTTCAGTAGTAGTCATAATCTTCGGTTGAACCCTTTGAAGACAAATATGTTGGTATACACAAATAGAACAAAAAAGAATACCGTAAAAAAGGACATAGACATACATTTAAAAGGTAATAAATTAATTCCTGTAGATCATTCGAAAAATCTAGGTATTATAATGGATGATGACTTAAAATTTGTTACACACGTGAACTATCTAATTACTCAGTGCTACGCTATTATCAGAGTTTTATTTGCAAATAAGGCTATATTACATAAATCTGCGAGAAAGCAATTGTGTGAATATTTCGTATTTTCAAAGATATCGTATTGCTTAGTGGTTATTTAGATATTATAACAAGAAATCGTATTCAAAGTATTATGAATACATGTTGCAGGCTTGTAAATGATCTCAGAAAATATGATCATATATCGAATGCCATTAATGAACTCAAATGGATGAAAATTGATAAAATGTATAAGTATCAGCTCCTAAATCTGACTCATAAGGTTCTTTATTCAAAAACACCGTCATATTTAGTAAACAAATTCATACGTAGAGGGAATATGCATCGTATTAATATTAGATATAGAGAGACTTTTTCAATTCCACGCCACAGCACGTCTCTATTTCAGAATTCATACATTTACAATGCGATCAAATCATATAATTCTTTAGACCGCAGTTTAAAAGAAACCAATCCATTATCCAAATTCAAGAAAAAAGTGAAAGAAGTTCTTCTTGATCAGCAGCGAAGTCGGTTGTAACCCATATTTTCCTTATGTATTTACTTGGATTATTCGTTATTGTATACAGGTGCCTATTAATTTTCAATAAATTCTTTTTTTTTTTAGTAGAATAGATACATAATCTAAATCTCGCCTCCTGTAAGAATATTACAAATAAACGACGTTAATTATTATTATTATTTACGCACTATTATTTTCAAGAAATAAGAATGGCATATTACTACTTTGTTAATGTTGAACTGTATTTGATTTTAATTTAGAATCGTAAAGTATTTAAGTATTTAAAACTTCCCGCTCCCGGGGACCACCTTGTATAAAGGTGAGAGAGAGCAAAACAATTAAAATGGAAATTTTTAGAATAGTCGGTCCTTGAAGATCGAAGAGTTTAAATAAAAAAAAGTATTACACTATGAGTAGAAATCAGGATGATTTTTGGCTCTTGATTTTTCATATTTATACCCCCACTAATAGCTACCCCACAAACTGAAATGTAGCGGCTAAAGTAACGAAGATGCCTGAAAAACTGACAAAAAAGTAACGGGGTATCCATGTAATGTAGTTATCGTAAATAAATTTTACTAACACAAGCCTCGCATGCATGGGATGTAAAAGCTTAAAGAAAATAAAATTGTTCCTTACCTGTATATCAGCTAGAATAGCTAGCCCCAAAAGCAATAAAGCCACTGCGATCCTCATGGTTATATTATTAGTTTGAATTAATTTAGGATACTTCTAGACTGTATTTATATAGTTGCAAATGAACCACTTTAAACTTATTATTTTGAGGAAATGAAAATATTGACAGACGAGATTCTTTTTTTGGAGTGACGCAAATACTGTACTTGTACTATTCCTGTACATCAATAACAAGTGAACATTTTTCTGAATGTGTGTTATTCGACATTTTTAGTCGTAGATCTTAGGTGTGTGTCATTAAGTGTCTCATTATAAAATTATTTGATATATCCGACAGTCACACTTTTTTTTGACAAGTAGCTTATAAACGTTCAGAAAAGATGTTACATTAAAAGTATGAGCACTTTTTCGGTCACAAAACAAGTTATAACTAGCTTCCGATAGCTCATTCGGAGGTATGAGACTCAAACGCTCAACGGCGGAACTTGACAATGCCATGAAGAAAAGAGAGAAAACAAAACAAGTTGAAGTTCTATCACATTTTTGGTAAAAGCTGCAACTGATTTTATTGAAAGACAACCAACTTTTGGCTGACGAAGATTGTAAAACGATATGAACTTATATCTACAAGCCAAGTCTTGGAGAGAGAAAGAGAGAGAGAGAGGGGGGCGTCGGCTCCTTGTTGTCAAGTGGAAAGCGTGGATTTATCTCCATGACTCCCAAGCTGCCTGGCGTAGACTCGAATGAGTAGGTCTATAGTTAGCTAGAGGCGCTAAAGGCCAAACTAGGCTGGCGAAGGATTAGTGTGGATCTGCATGTGCCGCTAGACGTAAAAACGAGATCATCTGAGAAACGTCTTCAGTCAGGAGGTCCATAGATCAAACTTGGATAAAAATAACGTATAGACATTTCAATAAATTGTATTTGACACCATTTCCTAAATCTTCATCAAATGCAATTTCTTAATACAACTTCTCCAATTTTTACACTTTGTTTTATAAATACGTTGTATTTATTTCAGTAACAAGAGGTGTTCCGACTCTGGAGCCGACTCAAGCTTAAAAGCTTACAAAGTGCAAAATTCCGTACCCTGGGCCAGCACTCCCATTGATATTTCACACATGCCACTGACATTTATGAATCGTCAAAAGGAAAAAATTATCCCAAAGATCGAAATTCTTCACTTAAATTAGTCAAAATTTCATATGTATCTGCCTGTAGCATGAAAGGAATAACAAGCTGATGTTGAAATATACCCATATATTGCAACACTCCCTTTACTGCAGTTCTTTCGCGCCTCTTCTTCGTCTTACGAATTTGACACTTTCCCATAAAATTGAAAATTTGCTCATGTCCAGCCCATACCAAGAAGACGAGCTAAGTCCAACCCTTACATATACAGGCGTAGCGCTCTGCCTTCTGTTGTAAGTAAGGTGATGGAGAGGAGCGTCACTCGGGAGATTCCAAGAGTACCTTAAACGTTACGGCTTGATTAGCTAGAGCCAGTGTGGCTTCCGGCACCAGTTATCCACGGAGGACCTCCTAGCTTACGTCACGCAACTGAGAAGGGGGTTTCTCCTCTTCATCCCACAATGCCAACGCATTTAGCTAGCTTTTGATATTTTGTACATTTTGTAACAATACTTCGTTCCGTGGAATCCGAAAATTTCGCCCATCAGTATGCATATCTGGACCCGAACCATATATTATGTAATAAAAATATACTTGGCATTGACACTGTTGACAGCATTCACGTGCGAATATCTCGCGTTTATTTTTCTTTTCATTTTTCATTTCATCTCTCTTTGATCCACCGTACAGACGCATTGGTTCTTCCTTCTGACAGCATAATTAAAAAAGAGCACCATCTACTAAGATTAATCATGTGTGCGTGTATACGGGGTGGCGCATCGAAAACGAAACAAACGCATTTACTGGCAGCTCAGTTTTTTTTTTTTGGAAAACGCTCAGACCCGCCGATTTTGTTTTCGAGGGGGACACAAGTTTGGCAAAAAATCACGCTGGCACGTGCAGCCCCCTAAGCGGGGGTGACATCACCCCCAAAATCTTAAATGGAAAGGGGGGTCGAGTGATACCTTATTTTAAAGGTCTTTCAATTCACTTTATAATGAAATAAAATTAATGTACTTCAGTTCAGTAGTTTTGAAGATTTATTGATTTAACGCTTAAATAAAACTAATACATCATCATTAGTGGAGATCAGTATATTTGGCAGCAAAGTAATTTAAAAATAAAGAATGAACTGACCCGTTAGGCAAGTAAATGTTGAAAAGGGCCACCATGGCTCTCCATGCAATAATAAAGATTTTGCTCAAAACGTTGCCGCACATTTTGCACTATTTGAGGAGTAATTTGAAGGCACGCATTCACAATACTTTGTCGCAGGTCTTCTAATGATGTTGGCTGAGTAGCATAGATTTTGCTTTTTAAATGACCCCACATAAAGAAATACAGAGGTGATAAATCTGGCCACCTTGGGGGCCATTCAATGGCACCTCTTCTACCAATCCATCGATCTGGAAACGTCTGATCTAAATATGGTCGAGCACGTAATACGTAATGTGGTGGGGTACCATCCTGTTGGAACATTAACCTATTCGCAATGTACCGCCGATCATTCTGATTTGCAATTATGGCTGTTAATGCAGGATCTATGGCGTCTTCCAGTAATTCCAAATACATTTCACCGATCAAATTTCAAAGAAAAAAGGATCAACTAAATGATCGCCAAAAACACCAGCCCAAACATTTAATTTTTGTGGCTGCTGTGTATGAACCTCATGATAAATTCTGGGATTAGAATAGGACCAATATCGGCAGTTATGACGATTTACTACTAAAAAGGAACATTCGTCGGAAAAGCAATTTTATACGGATGAAAACTATGGGCCTTTAGAATCCGTTGGACAGTACGTCGACTAACACCACACACAGTCTCCAGTTTGCGGGTACTTAACGTATGATCTACATAAACTTGCCCAAAAACCCTCACCTTCTATTGCTTCATTCCTTATGGGCTTTTCAATGTTGCGTTTTGTATTGACGACTGACCCAGTTTCCCGAAATTTAGCTACAAGTTATAGAAAATATTTTCGATGCACGTCACTGTTCTCATGTCGCTCATTAAATATTACTGCTGTTCTATTAGCGCACTGACTATTTCCGAAAAATATTTCGATTATTTCAACTCTTTCTCCTGTATACCATGGTTAATTTATGCAATAAAGCGTTACAAGTTATTTAGCAACAAAGTTTGCTCAAATCGACCGCAAACTATGTACTAAATTCCTATTTAAAATAAGTACGAGATATTTCCCTATCTTTCTTCAAGAAATAACTTTTTTGCCACAAAAAAAACGCTCCAATAGCTATTTTCAACAACAAAATGATAAACAAACCATGGACGTAGTGAAGAAAAGCATTTACTTATTCAGTAAATTCTTTTAGTCAAATTTGTTCTGAAAGTAGTACAAACTAATCTGATGTACCTATTAAAACCTTAGAAAACAAAATAAACGGGTCTGAACATTTTTCCAAAAAAAAAAAATGAACTGCCAGTAAATGCGTCTGCTTCATTTTCGATGCGCCACCCTGTATATCTAATTGCTTGGTATATGAAATTATGATGCTTTAGTTGCGTTTAGCCTGCAAATATTTGTTCCGATCTGTTCTTAGTTTTTTTTCTGCGAGGAGACTGTACATGGCTGCGATTTACAAATATTTGAATCATCCAAATGGCCCTAATTGTGTTACAATTGAATTAACAGGATGATTTTTTCATATTTTATTGTTGTTGTACGGATGTCTTCATATCCGTCAAACAGTAATAATACTAGGGCTTACGAAAATTGTCCTCGATTATTTTCAAAAAATGACAATACTTTTTTCAATTTTATGCATTCTGACTAGAAGTAAGGGTTGATGCATATACGAAATCCATATATTCTGGATTGCGAGGAAGTACAGAGCTAACCTACTTGACGACATTTTTACTAGTTCGCAAATTCTTCATAAATTCCCTTATAGACTCACTAGCACGAGAAATAACACAAATATATAAATTGCGATAAAATATATTTATACACAAAGAGACATCTAAATAAAGATAAACTTATAGAGGTTCCGCATGCTTTGAACAACATTTGGCGATTCAGGATCCAAGCTTAAGTTTCACAGCCGAAGGTGGATGAATATTCACTTAGTGAGCAGAATGACGATTATCGGAAAGATTATTCGGATGATGGTGAGCGTGATGGTGCTGGCCTGGCTTGTGAGATCTAGATTCATGTCTTGGACGTCGAGGTCCGTTATACCTAGACCTGTCAGAATGCGCCCTTGAGTTGCTGGATCTGGACTCGTCACTTGAGGAACGGGATTCACTGGAGCTGGAACTATGGGAGTCTTCTTTGGATTCGCTTGAGTCCCGAGACTCGTCCGACTCAGATTCATCACTTGACTTGTCACCAGACTCATCAGAATCTTTTGACTTATCTGACTCATCACTTTCACTTGATTTGGAGTCGGGTTTGGGTTCAGGCTTAGGCTTTGGTCCAGGCTTTGGTTTGTCGCCGGATTCGTTTGATTCTTGTGACTCATCTGACTTGTCATCAGACTCATCAGAATCTTTCGACTTATCTGACTCATCACTTTCACTTGATTTGGAGTCGGGTTTGGGTTCAGGCTTAGGCTTTGGTCCAGGTTTTGGTTTGTCCCCGGATTCGTTTGATTCTTGTGACTCATCTGACTTGTCATCAGACTCATCAGAATCTCTTGACTTATCTGACTCATCACTTTCACTTGATTTGGAGTCGGGTTTGGGTTCAGGTTTAGGCCTTGGTCCAGGCTTTGGTTTGTCGCCGGATTCGTTTGATTCTTGTGACTTATCTGACTTGTCACCAGACTCATCAGAATCTTTCGACTTATCTGACTCATCACTTTCACTTGATTTGGAGTCGGGTTTGGGTTCAGGCTTAGGCTTTGGTCCAGGCTTTGGTTTGTCGCCGGATTCGTTTGATTCTTGTGACTTATCTGACTTGTCATCAGACTCGTCAGAATCTCTTGACTTATCTGACTTGTCATCAGACTCGTCAGAATCTCTTGACTTATCTGACTCATCACTTTCACTTGATTTGGAGTCGGGTTTGGGTTCAGGCTTAGGCTTTGGTCCAGGTTTTGGTTTGTCCCCGGATTCGTTTGATTCTTGTGACTCATCTGACTTGTCATCAGACTCATCAGAATCTTTTGACTTATCTGAATCATCACTTTCACTTGACTTGGAGTCGGGCTTGGGTCCAGGTTTTGGTTTGTCCCCGGATTCATTTGATTCCTTCGACTTTTCTGACTCCTCACTTGGAGGTTCAGGCTTAGCCTTGGAATCATTGGGTTTTTCTGACTTGTCTTTCTCTACCTGCCAAAAGTTGAAGATTGCCACGGCCTCGGCTTCTTTGGGTTCAAGTTTGTAGCATGTCGATAGCTGAAACAGTAAATTATATTTTGTTAGTTACGAGCAAGAAAGGCGAAGAATGATCTCAAACCTACTCTCGATAATCTTTGAGTGTAGGTGATCAAAATATTTCATCATGCCATGTTTATCATTTTTGGTAAAAGTCTGAATACTTTCAGAGCATTCAAGATTTCCACGTGCGGGGGAAGATATATTCAACTATAAGGGTAAACAGTTAAATAGGATTTTAAAAGGATGTAGTTGAAGTCAGGGTACAGTTCCATAGAAACAGCTTTTCTAATTACAATAAAATTGCTCCTAAAGGAAATTCGCAGTGTTTGTGCATGCTCTTTTCATCAGAAAGGTCTCCCTTTTTGCAATTGTTCTTGACACTACTGCAAAAGTATCACAGAACGTGTCGATAGACATATGTAGGTCTTAAAACTCCTTAGTGTTGAGGTAAAACATATTGAGGGTAGACCCACGTAATTTAGAAAAAAGAATAATTTATAAAATTACCTGAATTTCAGCTAGCACAGCTGCAGCGACGAATGCTAATACCACGGTAAGCTTCATATTAACGTATCAAAACTATGCTTTGCACTATCGCCGGAGCGTATTTATAGTATAGCAACAACTACTTGAGAGCTGTTTTCATCGTGCAGAAAAATCTACAGTGCATCACAACAGTAACCTAGATTTTTATCGTTTCTAACAGGAAACCCACGAGTGCCTACTATTTACTTCATAGGTGATAATATAGTGCGTCTTGTCAGATTAAACTACGCGTAGATAGCAATATCAAGGTTAATTTTGTGCCGTTTATTATGTTGTATGGATTATGAAAAGTGCTTATACAGGGATGTTGCTGAAGTATGAGTGCTATCAAAAATTGTGACATTATGTTTAGTGATATGATATAATAATAATAATAATAATAATAATAATAATAATAATAATAATAATAATAAAATGTCTTTATTAGGCACATTATATAAACTACAACATAATGTGACCTCTACGTAGGCGAAGTCTAGTTCTTGGCTACTCTACTTAACCTACCCAAATAATAAATTGAAACACTTAATCAAAGGAAACTTTGACAAGCAGCAAAAGACGCTGCAAAACAACCAGCTTGATAGCTTCCTAACATACATATATACACACATATATTACGTAAAAATAAAATAAAATGTAAGAATTAAAAACTTTTCCACAATTACTACAATGACAAATAAATCTGTTTCACATGCCTACGAAATCTGTTTACTGGCCAATCCTTTATATTGTCATCTAATTCGTTATAAATCAGGATAGCATTATAAGTGTATGAACTACGAAATAAAGTTGTTTTATACATAGGGATATCTAGTTTTTTTTTGTGTCTGAAATCAATGTCTGAATTATTTCGTCTGAAAACAAATTTCTCATAAATATACAAGGGGGATCTAGAAGATATGATCTTATGTGTAAACACTGCTATATGGTACTTGCAAGCATTTTCTATACACATCCAACCAAACTGAAATCTCTTTAAGGAAACATGATCATACTTCTTGAGATTAAATACAAATCGACAACAAGTATTTTGGAGTTTTTGGAGTCTTGCTTTTGTGATAGAATCAAGACAATGATAGAACACAGTGCTACAGTAAAATAAGCTTGGAAATATAATAGCCTCACATAACTTTTTTCTAACTTTAAAATTCAAAATAGAGCGATTGACATAAAAACACTTCAAAGTTGCATAACATTTTTTTAAGATAGACGAAACATGCTCCTTAAACCGTAAAGTATAATCAATAATCAACCCTAAATTTTTTGTAGTATTTACGACAGCTAGACGCTCCTTGTCGATTTTTACATCAAGAGAATACAATATAGTGTTACGCTTGACAGCAGGACAAAAAAGCATCACTGAGCACTTATCCTTATTGAGCTTAAGATTGTTACCATTTGAGTATTCTACTATTGCCTCCAAATCATCATTAAGCTCATTGATTGCAGTATGCAAAGTGTTACTATTAAAGCTCTTATATATCTGTGTAACATCGGCATAGCACATCACATAAGAGTTCTTTACAGAGCTACCCAAGTCTATAGTATAAAAAAGTACAACAAGCGCCCTAAAACTGAACCCTGAGGGACACCTCATGTTATATCAATCGGGATAGATATAGTGTTGTCTATCTCTACTACTTGTTTACGATTTGAAAGATATTTTATAAAAAACATTAGAGGTATGTCTGAAAAAACAAAAAACTTCAATTTAGCACATAAAAGCTCATGATCTATTTTATCGAATGCCTTAGAATAATCTAATGATACAAGTGCGGAAGCATCTCCCTTATCAAGCGAATCAATGATGTCAGCTTAGACCCTTGCTAAAGCTGTAGTTGTACTAAAACCACTGCGGAAACCAGATTGACACTTGGGAAAGAAATCATTATTAGAGAAATAATGATAAACCTGATGTTTAATCAATTTCTCCAATATCTTCGATATAACAGGAATGAAAGTTATAGGTCTTAAGTCTAAGAGACATTTTGGATTTTTACATTTAGGCAAGGGCTTGACAAGAGATAGTTTCCAAGCATCAGGGAAATACCCAGCCTCCAGGCAACAGTTCAATAAATGCGTCAATGGTAGTAATACTCGAGGCAAGCAAAGCTTCAGCATTGACACTGTTATACCATCCGAACCTGCTGCATTAGATTTTAGGGACAGAATAATGTCTAGCACATTTTGTGGGGTAGCAAAACTAAATTCAAATCTAGCACTTTCATTAATTTTGGTACTATTAAATTTATCAACTAGATCCTTGCAATTGCCCGAAGGCGTGAGAACGGAAGAAAAATAATTGTTTACTTCATCGGCATTCTTCAACTGTGTAGGTAGATCTATCTACATTAGTTTTGAGTTTCAATGAATGTACAGCTTTCCAGAGATGCTTGTTACTATTTAGTTGTTCATTGAAGCTTAGATATGCTGCTTTCTCCCGCCTAATACTACATATGCATGTAGTATTTCGCAGTTTGCGGCGGCATTGCTCTAAACCAAAAAATATTAGTTTGAAACTCGGGTTTAAAAATCATTTATACATTTTATAAAAATTATGCGTGAAACTTATTGAAGCTTGATTATTTTCCGTAAGACATGCGCGAAAGCAGATTGTTTCAATATAATTCTTCTAAAAAACGTTACCATAAAAATATTTCACGCACAAGTGACTGCGTTTTAGGATAAGCAGCACTTTTCATTATTGTCATTTTTCCGAGGGTTTTCACAATTATGTCGCTTGTAGGATCATCTAGTTTAATATATCAAAAACTTCAATAACATTATGTATATTGCATATACAGTTTGTGACGTAATTTGTGATTAATCTTTCATCAGCAGATAAGGACCGTTCAGAAAATACTGAATTTCACTACCTCTCAAGAGTATCAAATTAAAAAAAAATAACTTACAATTTAAGAAAAACCTTCAGCACTATTTAAATAAAAAACAGTTTCAAAAATACACGAGCTTGTATGCTCTTGCTACCCTGAATAACCAAGATTGCAACAGAAATCTGAGCAAAGATACTAGCATCAGATCTAGAATCAGCAAGTAACGGTATATGAATTGTGAAAATTCTGTATACTTTCGTAAAGGGTAAATGTCTGAATCTTGTCGACACATCCTAAATTACGTGTCTGAATAAACAATTCTAAAATTCATAACAATAGTACAGAAGCATAGTAAAAACACTCAGAAGTATAAATATAGAGTACATAAAATATGAATATCTGAAATATGATAATATAGTTTCGAGTCAGGTCAAACTATGTTGTTTAAACAATAAAAATTTTGCGTAAAGGTTAAGCAGAGAAACAAAAGTACTACAATTTACCACAAAAGAAGTTGCTACAAAAGAATAGACACCTAAGCTATAAGCTTGTGTGTGTCATACAATATACAAATTCAATGCATGGCTAATGGTCATAAAATACATTATGAGCAAATGTATATAAAAAAAAGAAATAAAAAACAAGACCCCACAAACGAGTTATATATTGAGAGAAGACTCTTTCTGCTTAAAATATTCCTAAGAATGAAAAACTTATGAGTATCCAATAACCTCGACTCTTTCGGCAGTGTCAGCACTATCATTTATAATTAATGTTCGGTGGTGGAATGGCATGCCTACTTTGGTTGGAGAAAACGTTACATACTTAGTTTAAGAGATATTAAGTTTAAGTTAATTGTTATCCAACCAGCATTTGACTTTATTTAATGACAACTCGGCATTCCGTATTGCGTCATCCTATGAATGACCAGTGCAAACTAAAACAGTATCGTCTGCATATGATATCATTTTACAGTTGAAATTGCATCGAAGTAGTTCATTAATATATATGAATAACAGTGTTGGTCCCAAAACCGTCCCCTAAGGCACACCTATTTTGATCTTTTGAATGCTGCTTAAATCTGACCCTACCTTAACTTGTTGTAATCGCCAAATAGCTCTCAAATAAGTTCAGAACTCCACTACGCACTCCAACACTTTCTAGTTTCTTTAATAAAATTGTATGAGATACTGAATCGAAAGCTTTTTGAAGATCTAGGAAAACTGCAACAGTCTTATTTCCATCTTGAAAATTCTCAAGCACTTGTCCTGTAAGTTCTTGTAGAGATTGCTTTGTATTGCAATTTTTGCGGAACACAAATTGACAGTTCGATATTATGTCATATTTCTCAAGAAAAGAACAAAGTCTGCTATTCAAACATTTCTCAAAAATCTTTCCAAATACATTGATAACTGAAATAGGTCTATAATTGAAATCGTATTACAACTTTTAGCTTTAAATTATTATGATACACTATGGCATGGCTTCATGGCATATAGAAATCTATATATATTCACATTTAGACTGGTCGTACTATCTGCATAAATATTATAATACTTTGTAGTACTAAAATGCCTAAGTGCAGTCGTTCCTACAATTGTAGGACGCCTTTATGGCCTCCTTGATTTTCATAGTTTTCTTCTTTTCCGTGTCAGCGCTCTATTTTGAGATCATGTTACAAATATCTATTTGCATCAAATTCTTCATGCTTTTGATTTATATCATCTGTCAAATACCCTGAAATTTTCTACAATTCAAGAAGGAAACATAGCCTGACAATAAGAAAGAATTAGACCTGAATACTTAAAAGTATAACGCATTTCATCCTGTCTCTATTGGCAGCTAAACATGTTTGGCATGACTATCATTGTTTATTTGATCGTTATCTTGTAATATCAGTCGATGCGTATACAAACTGTTATTCTTAACAAGTTCAGTAATCTGTGCCGTCAGAAGTGTTTACTAGATATCAATCAGTATTAATGGAAACATTGCCTTGGCGTAAAGAGTAAACAATAAAATAATCTTGATAATATTAGCAAACGCAGAATCTCTTTGAAGACAAAGTCTCTAAAAATAAATAAATAAATGCCATCATACCAGCTAGTCATGGGCGCTATCAGGGAGTTACCAGCATGACTCTGAGTACAATTTTGGCAATTTTTAAGATGCGTTCGTAAGAAAATTTGCTACCCCCGCTCTTCAAGAAGGTTTGGGGGCAGATAGACTGACTCTCATTGCGCCCCTGAGAAAAATTTCTTACATCAAACTGAACTAATCGTCATCAGTGTTTGACAAGCGTCGTTAATGGCATCAGATGCTAGTTCATTTGTATCATTTTATAGCCTGGTACCAAAACGGTAGAGAGTAGGAAAACACATCCTATACCATTGC